GTCTCTCTCTTCTATCCACAATTCCGTGATTTTTACTTGTTTTTCCATTTTTTCACAGGTGATGGTCCAGGTAATGGACTGGCATGGGGCTGTGACTTGAGTTATGATTATGTGAAAATAAATGCAGAGTACACAACGTAGAAAATGTCTTCACTCATCAATCATAGAACTACAATATGGTCCTCTCAGATGTTGAGATACTCGTTTGGCTAGATCTATTCTTCGAGCAAATGCTTTAGTTAGATGTACTGTTAAATTGGTCATCTCAGATGTTGAGATACTCGTTTGGCTAGATTTATTCTTCGAGCAAATGCTTTAGTTAGATGTACTGTTAATCCTTGCAAGCAGTCGTACCATGCTGCTATAGGCATCTTAATCCTACTTTAGTCTTTTACCCCTGTTTTTAAGCTATGGACTTGACACTGAATCCAAGTTATAGTTCCAGAGAATGATCAAGATTCTGCTCTTTCCTTTGCAAATGACTGAGGTATATCCCATTGGCAATACTGATTTAAGATCACTAAGCGTCTATTCTCTTTACTATTTTCAAGTCGTTTTCTGTTTTACTAAGCGTCTATTCTCTTTACTATTTTCAAGTCGTTTTCTGTTTTCGATTTTCCAAAATAGTGAAAACAAGTTCTTTCTTATTTTTGAAAACACATTTTTGAAAACAAGTTAAAAATTTACAAAGAAAACTCAAAACGACAAATTTGTCGTTTTTTGTGTTTTTAGTTATATTCAAACCAAAATTTTCAAAACGCAAAACAATTTTTCCCAATGTCAAAAAAAAAATAATGTCAACAATCTCAAAATGAATACTCAAAACACAAACAAAAAATAAATTCAAAACTCAAAATATAAAACTGAAACACAAAGAGAACAGTCTCGAATATGTTTCACTTTTCTTGCATTAAATCAAAGCTAAGAGCATTTTCATCAGCATATATAAATACAAAATATACTTTATTTTCGAGAATCAATGCTTAAAAATGAGCTCTAAGAGGATCTCTATTTTAATTTTTTAAAATAGTGTGTTTGGATCAATATTTTTTCTTTGTATACAATGATTGCATTTTAAAAATCACGTATTTCAATACTGTACTTAAATTATTCTAACCACATTTAAATTGATTGATTAATTAACATATAAAAAACTGTGTTTAATAAACTATTTGAGCCCCATTTTTTTTTGACAAAAATGCATTTTGAAATAGTGATTTAATGAAGAATGTGTAATTGAAAATTTTAGAATTGCTTATAATATTATTTTATTGAACAATATATGATTGAAAATAAGAGAAAATGTATTTTAGAAATAATGGAAATCAAACAAGAGCATGAAGATGAAGTTTTTTAGAAAAACAAAATGAAGAGCCCAAATAAAGAGCTTGTTGAAGTGTATAAAAATTTTGAATCTCTAAATTTAAAGATACTCTATATAATACATAAGATGCTAATATTTATAAATAAAGAGTCTTGGAGATACTCTAAATCCATTATCCTTCAGCAAACATGTTCAAGCAAAACATGAAATAACTTATTCTCAATTACCAAACTCGGTGCCCACAAAATTTTGAATTTTTTTCTATTAATAAATATTGACATAATAACTTACACTTTAAAATTCAAGCATACAAAAATCTTAGACCTAAACAAGAGATCCAATAGTTACTTAAATAAATAAATAGCACAA